GTTGTAATAGTCATGTAATAGTCGTGATTTTGGTGTGGTCTTGGCACCGTGAGCCACTCGCTATACTGAGCCACTCGCTATACAGATACGTTAGTATATTATAGATCATATCGCTTATCTACAAAGGGCTAGAATACGCTATCTCTCTATGTTAAAATCAGTTATACGATATATAAATCTTACAATCCCCCTTATTTGTAACCTTGGTTATGTATAGCTATACACAATTATTGTTGATAATGAAGGTCCTCGCTATATGCCCTTGTGCTTCTCCAACTTGATAAATTGCTTATTTAAATCACGTTTATAGGCCTAGATACACCTACCAAGTGCTGCGGAGAAAAGACAATATATTAGTTAGAGTGCGTAATGATAGTAGTAGGCGCTTAAATTAGCTGCTTGCCGATTCTTTGTATTCGTGGCAAATCAATTCTTGTCCTTCGCTTCATCTTGATGTCATAAGCTTCGACCGTCCTTTGCAGTGACACGAAACTAAGAGCCTTTCACTCGGCTAGACTGTCTTCTTGTGAGGATCAGCCAAGATTCAAGTTGCAGTCATTTAGCATGAAGTGAGCCAGGCACAACTAGGTACAGTGTGATGAGAACAGAGAGTAGAAGGTCATATTGTGTTCGTGAGGATGACGGTTTTATTTGAAATGGCGTCTGCATAGCCTAGGGCCTCACCCCTTAGCCCTCAAGGTTCGGCCCACGCTTCTGGGCATTTGAAAGCAAGATCTGCTGCTGTGCAACGGCGTCCCAGACTGGGTCATAAGGTAGAGATGCGCTCGGCGCTACGGTGGCGGTGCTTGACCGCGCTTTCCTTGTTCCTTCTGAGACAAGGTCAGGACGGGGCATTCAGCAGCGCACTTGGTTACGTGCCGTCGTATTTCCGTCTACTCAACCTTTTTGCCATGCTCGCCTTGACGTCACCCGGCTTAGCTTCGGGCAGCTTCTCTTCCTCAAGCTCACGAATGACTTCATTCTGCACTCTTTCCTGCGTATCCTTGTCAAGTTCCTTCCATATGAAGAGGTCGTTTTTTTGAATCTCGGCCACTTTGAGGTTTATGATACGCTGTTCATGGGCATCAATCAGCGCACATCCAGGGGCACATGGACGCGCGTACATTGTAAGCTTGTTTCTCGCCGGGTCTGAGCTTGTTCTCATAAGGAGTCTCGCTCCCTGTTGAAAGCGGCATCGTATTCGGCGGCTCGAGCGTTGCTGCTAGATACGCGTGGACGGCAACAGCTCAGACCCCGCATGGCTCTGTCGTTGCGTGTTGGTCAAAGCGTGTCACTTTCGTAGTACGGGCCTATCAGCTGCACGTACGTACTACTACGGCTGATTTTGCCGCTACGCCTTTCTGTTGTCGTGTGGCTTGGGCTCTCTAGTAAGCCTTTCCCGCAACTTGCTCCTACTGTATATACTGTTCTTTGAGTTGATGCTGGGTGCGAAACGCCTGCTCGGTGTTGCGCCACGTTGCCGAATAGCAGGTTAAATCGTGTAATCCCAGCACAGGCTGCCCGCACTCAGACCAATTCACAACTTCCTGGGACCGTCTCGCTTGTCGTGCTGCGCTTAGGCCAATTTACGACGCTTCAAGCTAAGCCACCTACTACCTACTAGGTAGTACTGCTTAGCAGTCATTTTAGCGCCATCGCTACGAGCCTGTGGATCCAGCCCCCGTCGGCTACGGGACGGCCCCAACCAAGTGAAGCGGCACACTGAGCACGGTCGAGCTCCATAGCTAGCCACCAGAAGCCCAGAAATAGTTACGCAGTGATTCTTGTATAGTAACACATGCCTATTGTATTCTAAAATAAGCATTTCCATAGCACCCTCATCCATTGCTTGTGCTAAGCTCATTCCCGTTTGGCAACCCCACCAAATAAGACTCAAGAGCGGCCTTTCGCATGTACAGCTCGCATGGCTTACAATCCCACCACCGATTAGCGCGAGACAGATGCTTCAAACGCAATTCACAATCATCATCCTTAAACGTAGCGCCCGTCCCCATCGCTGAATCCAAAGAGCTCACACCGGCTCCAGCAGTAGCGGCGGCGGCTTCCTCCTCTTCCAGACGTATCTGTTCTGCCTCTTCTTCCTCCCGTTGCATTATCTTAGCAGCCTCCTCTTCTTCCCGTTGCATCATCTCGGCAACCTCCTCTTCCTCTTTCTGGCGCTTCGCGTCTTCCTCTTCCTTCAACTTCGCCTCTTTGTCCAACTTGGCCTTCAGCTTCTTCGCCTGTGACTTACTAAGTCCCGCATAACGATCTACCTCCATCTTTGAAGGTTCGGGTTTCAGCTGTGGTTCGGGTACGGATTCAGGCTCCGGTGCTAGTTTTTCCCATCCACAACCCCATGGATCATCCTCTTTGGCAGGTGATGGCTCGTCCACGACTAGCTCTGGCTCTGGTTCTGGCTCCGGTGACAGGTGCTCTTCCTCAAGTACGCCCTTATTCTTTTTCTCCTGGTTCTTTGCGTTCCTGCCAAAGCCGAGTATTCTCCATAGATCGTCGTCTTCTTTCTTCTCAGGCGTTGACTTTTTGTCGGTTGCGGTCTTTCCTTTGCGCAACTTGTCTACTTCCTCACTGTATAGACTAATGATGACTTGAGCCAGTAACCGCACCAACGTAGGGCTTTCAATGTTTCTAAATAATTCTGGTGCCGATAAGATGGGGCGATCGTGTTCGAAGGTCCATCGAACTTTCTTTGACACGAAGTCTCGAAGCCACGCATTTTCGTCAGAAGTCCCGGCAATAGACTCTTCTCGAATAGCGCGCACAGCGTCACGTAAGCAGATTTCCCTGCCTCGTCGCTCCAGCTCAACTTGTGCTAATTCCTGGAGACCAGGCACGCTATACTTCTTAGCAGCTTCTAGTGCAAGCACAGCTGTCTGGAACTCATTTCGAACAAGAGTTTTGTGGTTGTACCCAGCACCCTCGATGTCTTCGTCGTTGAGTGTCTGATAGACACCCGTGTGCAGGAAGTGGATCAAGACGTGACCAATGCTTGCGTCAACATCTACGAGATGAATCTCGTGAGTCCAGGCATCACGAATTGGGATATTCCCCAATCTTTGCAGCAGAACTTCTGGGAGATAGTATATCTGATGGGTAGGACCAAAGTGTAAGGTAACAGATGGACTTGTATATAGGCTAATGTAGTCAACTTTAAAAAGGTGTGCTTGCGTGAATGGAGGAAGCCAGTCTCACCTTGTTTTCAACCGATGATGAACATCTTTGGCTGCTTTCGCGACTTTGGTCTTTTTAGCCATCGAAATTGAAGCAGTTCGAGTGGCACTATTCGTAGGATCTTAGGTAAATCCGGGTGGGGGGATCCTTAGACTGGCGCTCAAGTCAGCGACAAAGAATCGTTATCTTGAATGCGGGATCGTTCTTACGACATTTTATGCTGGGTTCGTGCACGACCATTCGTAAACGACATCCCACCCACGCATTGACGAGTTGTTCATGGAGGATCTCTGCATATGCACCAACACGACACTCTGCATACCAGACCGCTTAGCCGCTTGACCCCGCACCTAGATCTTCAGCCTGATCAGAAATTATGTGCCCAGATCGTAATCGCCGTGATAAGTGCCAGTGAAGAGTCAGCCTTGGTATGGGTAGGGCGCAGTTTGAACTTGTTACACTGCGCGTCAGTTTATGCGTGCACTGCCAAGAAATCAACTCGTAGATGCAGCCACAGCGCGTGATGTGTCACTATACCATTGGTTCCAAAGTCGCACAGGACTTCCACAGGATAATGGCCTTGTTCCGATTCATGTTGTATAAGCTGGACTCAGCAATCATCGGCACCTCCTACGTAGCCTCAATCACAAGCTGCAAATACACCATAGATTTGAACAGGATCCGCAATGAGCCTTTGTGTATTGTGCAACCGCACTTTCGGCAGCATAAAAGCACTCAAACAACATGAAGAGAACTCACCAAAGCATGCGGAAAACTTTGGCTGTAAGCCATGCAATCGCTCCTTTGGTAGCCTAGACGCACTCGGCCAGCACCAAGACAATTCTTCAGCTCACCGAAAACCCAGAAAAGACTCAGCATTGTCTTCCATCACGCCTGCTTTATTGCCCCCCTATGCTCCATTGCCGTTTTCGACATCCTCTAATACCCACTCAACGATACACAACGGTCAGCGCAGTGGTCACGCCGCGGCAAAGAACACTTTCCACACAAACTCGACCTTTGACCTGCCATTCGCAGTACTTCAAAGTCGAATGCAAGCTCTTACTATACCGGATTCACAGACATCTATCGTAGCGCCAAAAGTCGATCAAGCGCACACCAAGACGCTGCAAGAGGAGACAAGGACCTTCTTCACATTTCCCCAATTACATACCAGTGTGGCCGAAGCCGTCGCGCCTTTCATAGTCTCGACATGGTTCAACAATGATCTAGATGCTCACTTCAATAACACGTACATAGCGTGTGTTATGGGAAAGTTTACATGCGACAACAACGCATGCATGAAGAAAAGGTGGAGCAGCAAAGTGGTGGCAACCTGGATTCAAGGATATACACGTAATGGGTACAACGCTATTGTGTTCAATCAACGCTGCGAATATTGCAACTGCCTGGGGAGCTTCAGGTTGGATGAAAAATCGTACATTGATCGGATTGCATACAGACTCAAGAAATGGGCAGGCGTGATCATGGAGCCGCCCCCATTTTCTCCCAAGGAAACACCACCGCATGAAAAGGATCTTTGCGAAGGCTGTAAAGTGGGAAAGTGTCCAAAGACACCGAAATTCGAGTCTTCCTAGAATCATACATCCTTACCCCATAAAGCACTATCTTGGCGTTGCAACTGGCTTGTTGATTGCTTTCTGATTACCATAGTTGATAATCGTATTTACTAGAATATGCTTGTACAGCGGCGGCTTCAGCTATTGCATACCGTCCTGTTGGTGTTTTGAGATCTAATTACCGCCAGCATTCTAAGCACTGCAGCGTGTCAAGCAACTCAAGCTTTATTTCCAGCTGCCGCATGCCTAGCGTGTCACCGAGCTCGCTAATCTTACGCTCACAATAAGCATTTGAGGCTGGTATTGTAAGCAAGTTGATAGCAAAATTAGCAAGCATTGGACTGTAACCGCCAGTGCTTAGGCGGATTATGAGCCATCGGATCGTTCTCTGCGATTGATGGCATGCGTTTTCACCGTTCGTACTCATCGCCAAGATGTTCCTCTACCTGCTCGACAGGAGCATGTAATCATAACTTCAAGAAGGCGGCCGCGACGCTACTGGACCACCAACACGCATGCTCTTTGCTGGGCGCTTCTCATCGCTGTCACTTATCGCACTGCTAGCCACTGTTACTTCTTGAAAGCACTTCCACATCACTATAAAAGCACGATGATTGTTTATAAGTCACGCATCGCGGTAGTGGGGGCCGTCGCGCTGCTTGTTGTGATCATCACGGACTTTCTACAGTGCCTCGAGGTGGTGCTTGATGGAGCGCTGTAGCAGCGTGGGAGGCAGGCGCATCGTCAAACCTTGAACAGTACTGTAGTAGTTCTTGTGAGCTAAGTCGGCGTTAAACATCAGGTAGTCTTCTAACGTTAACGGATCATTATAAATGATATCCTCCAAGCGCTTAAAGGGCGCTTCGAGCTCGTTGAGTAGCCATTCAAGGGTAATCAGAACGTCCTACATTACGCCGTGGCGGCAGTGTTTACCGGGTCCCTTTAACAGCTTAGGGGACTCTGTAAACGACCCTGGAAGCTTTATATACTCTGTAATCGTTGCCCAGTAGTCAGAGTGTAGGCTACCATCACGCAAAAAAAGCTTAGGTTCCTGGAACACGCCACCGCTACCTCTAGCTCGCCTTGAACGGCAAGCAATAGCCTCGTTGTGGCGGCCCTCAGAAAGCTTATGCTCGATGTAGTTATTAAACGGGCCTTGGAGCTCAATAGCGCGTACAAAGGCAGCAAATTAGGAGTTTTAGCGCGTCTTAACTGGCCCAATCAGCTCTCAGAGGACAACAGACTTACCAGGCGATTCAGCTTCGACTCTTGGTGTCTCTGTAACAGCTCGCGTGACTGGGGCGTATAGATGGACGCGATGATATCAAATAATGCATCGATAAGCCCATATCGATGTTACCTTTTCATAAAAGCCTCCTCAACTCTAAGGCTACCACCAGCGTTCTTGTATGTGTCACGGTGTTTTGCCCCACATGATAAGTTGAGCTCCAAGGTTGATTATATAGCAGCAGCAGCGTAGACGCTGCTTAGAATCGTGAAAGTTGTCCATACTAGTCACATGATTGACAGCATTATTATTGTTTTATGCGTTGTCATGCACGAAACAGTCCATTGATGCCTTGTTCACCCCAAAGTTCGTCAGCGTTGTTGCAACAACTGCGCCAATATTATGACCACGATGCTGCCCATGGAGTTCTGACAAGCCTAGAGGAAGGTCTTGCACATCTTTTACTGCGCTCATCAGGTGTACGCAGATGCCAGTGGGTCTATACTTGCCGCTAGTCGACATTCAGTTATCGAAGGAGATATGAATAAAGGATCGCACGCCGCTTAGGTAGTTTCGAACAGCAAATACGTGTGAGTGATACTCAGCAATAATCGAATCGCGAGGAGACTGGTGGTTACGACAAAATACCGCCTCTGCCGACAGATTGGCAGCTCGAATCAACTGAGAAAGAGTAGGCGTTTCGATATGTAACGCGGAGGCTTCAGTTATTGGCATCTATCTAGTCCATTAGCGCGTCTTGAAACTTGCGCTTTGTAAATGAAGATGATGTCTCATTCGCAACCTCCTACGACACCTCAACACCGCTATCGCGCATGAGGGTGACGATTGATGCCTAGTCAGGATCGCGGCTTCGTCGGAGAGGTCCTTGTGCACCAACGCTGTGGCCAGGCACACATTCCGTTAGGTGAGTAGCTTCTGCTGACGTTAACCCAGCGTCGTACTCGCCCCCAAGCTTCTTTCGTATGTGGCAATGGAAACAGAGCCAGTAGTTACGATTTTTAATATAATTACATACTAGCCAGCTATAATTGTATATCCGACTTAGGGCACCTCTAGCGTGCCCTTTCTATAACCTTTCGAGGTATGAGTCCCGTGACTAGTCTAAGCCGTTAAAAAAAGTATCATCAGCCTCATCTACAGACTCATCTACAGCCTCGCTAATTCGCGCGTCAATCAATTAGTTATCGCGATCAAGCTCAGCGTTGTTATCAGTAGACATTATGACTAACACGTTCACAGGTAGATCCTCGTGTTTATCACCATCAACAAATTAGTGGAGGCTTTGATTCGATTACTAGGTTATATTAACACCGAGAGAAACTGGTATGACCCATAAGTAAGCGCGTCTATAGACGGTAGCGTTGGTGTAGAACTAGGATTCGTAGAGTGCTGCGCGATTAAGCTACAACACCGAGGTTTTATAGCACTAGCCGCTTATACCTAGAAACTATGTTATTGGCCTTACAGATAGCCTAGAAAAAGCCTCCGCAACACTATATCTCAATTCAATATGAGTCGATGTAGTCCGTTTAAGAATTTCAAAATGAACTGACTAATGGAATGAGCCTTCTTGGTCCGATACATCATCGTCATCATCATCATCATCATCATCATCATCATCGAAGAGTTCTATACCATTGTCATACCCAAATAGATCTCTTACGGTAGCCTGTTCCCGCTCCCCTTCCATCATCTCGCACATTCGATCAATCGTAAGGATTCGCTTTCTACCGCCCGAGCCCCAAGGTCCTGACTTCTTCTCCTCAGACTACGGGTCGTATTCAGGGGATCGTGCTCGAGTAATGCGATGTTCAATCTCGTCTTTCGCCTTGTAAAGCCACTCAGGCTTTATACGCGCCATATATATCTCACGTAAAGCTGGCATATGTATGACATCGTTTTGACAGTACTCTATTGTCTCGTGTTGCAAATTATTATTATTGTTATTATTATTGTTATTATTCCATTATAGTCCTGTATCAGCCGTTGGCTATGTAGGACTTTGGCCAAAGGCCGTTCTATCTGACTAGTTACAATTTGGTACG